TAGATGGTTGTGAGCCATCATGTGGGTGCTAGGAGTCAAATCTAGTCTTCTGCAAGAGCAACGAGTGCTCTTAAGTACTGCTGCATCTCTCCAGGCCCTAACGGCCACGTTAAAAGGCGGCTTCCCCTCCCGACTTTTACCAGAATCTTGGTTCAAGGACCAGACTTTCCTCTTAACTTTCCTCTGTGTCCATCCCCACCCATAGGTCCAACAGGCAGTGGAAAGACAACATTCATCAGTGAGTATGCCCTGGATTTATGTACCCAGGGGGTGAACACACTTTGGGGTAGCTTTGAGATCAGTAACGTGAGACTAGCCCGGGTCATGCTGACTCAGTTTGCTGTGACACGTCTGGAGGAACAGCTGGACAAGTACGAAGAGTGGGCAGACCGCTTTGAGGACCTGCCTCTCTATTTCATGACTTTCCACGGACAGCAGAGCATCAGGTGAGAGCTCCAGAGACCAGCTACTTTAAAAAACATTTTTAATGTTTGTTTGTTTGAGACAGGGTCTCTCTAAGTAGCCCTGGCTGTCCTGGAACTCACTATGTAGACCAGGATGGATGGCCTCGAACTCAACACCTGCTTCTGCCTCCCGAGTGCTGGGATTAGAGGCTTGCACCTCCATGCCTGGCCCTTATTTTCATTTTTGAGAGATCCCAACACATCATATTTCTTTTTTTTTTAAAGATTTATTTATTTATTATGTATACAGAAGAGGTGCCAGATCTCATTACAGATGGTTGTGAGCCACCATGTGGTTGCTGGGAATTGAACTCAGGACCTAGGGAAGAGCAGCCAGTGCTCTTAACCTCTGAGCCATCTCTCCAGCCCCACATCATATTTCTTATGCTCTTTCCAGCTCCAGTGAGAGTGCCTTCCAGGGCTCTTTAGACAGGCTTGAGGTTTCCAAAGAATGGGAAGTCAGAAGAGCGAATGATATCAGTATTTTCAGGATGCAGGCTCTTCTCCTGGAGTGTTGACTGTTTGAATCCCTGCTTCTCCTTCCAGGTCTGTAATAGACACGATGCAGCATGCTGTCTACGTCTATGACGTTTGCCATGTGGTCATCGACAACCTGCAGTTCATGATGGGTCATGAGCAGCTCTCCACCGACAGGTGAGCTCTTCTTGTCTGACTCACACACACTGTCTTCTCGTGAAGCTGGCCTCTAGTACAGTCATCGTGCTGTTACCTTCTGAGAGGTTCGGCAGTGGGGAGTTGGCCAGGGACCCGAGTGTGAATCCTTGAGTAGAAGGAAGGGTAGCGGGCTGGGGTAGTTCGTGCGCAGGGACTGGCTCGGGACTTGGTGCACGTTCCACCCACTAACCTCTTGCCTCACCGAATTGCACTGCTGCAGGATTGCAGCTCAAGACTACATCGTTGGAGCCTTTCGGAAGTTTGCCACAGACAATAGCTGCCACGTGACTCTGGTCATTCACCCACGGAAGGAGGACGATGACAAGGAACTGCAGACAGCTTCCATATTTGGCTCAGCCAAAGTGAGTCGGCTTTAAGGCACTCAAGCTTGGAGAGTTAGAGCGGCAGGCATAGCTAGAGACAGTCTTCCTTCAGCCTCAGGTCCTTCTGACTGCCCTAAAAAGGCAGGAGGCCCTGCTTCTGGGGCCACGGCATGAGGAATACATGAGCCAGGAGTCCAGGGATCGGAGTTGGTTCTGTGCCATCTAGCAGTTACACCTGTTAGTAGGTCATGATTGTAGCTCAGTGGGATGAGAGCTATGGCAGGCAGCAGGAGGGGAGGGGTCTGAGTCATCCTGTGACCTGTGGGGAGACTTCCCAGTGGATGTGCAACAAGACTTCCACTGAGGTTTCCGGACAGTAAGTGTCAGATTATCAAATAAATGGGAAGGCAGCCTTCTGGGCCACAGGACCAGCCCCATCCCAAAGCATCCAGCGGTGTGCTAAATTCTTGTTACATGTTAGACCCAGCTAGGCAAGGGGAGTTCAGGTTGAGGAGCAAAAGTATGTTGGTTTGGAACAAACACGGAACAAGAATAATGCAGAAGTTTAAAAACAAAATTGGTGGTACTTTTTTAGGGAATCAAAAGTGGTCCCTAGTGAAGTGTCATGTGAATAGTAAGAACAAGCTGGTGGGTAGGAACGTCCACTATAGAGGAGAGGCGTTGGGTGGGTAGGACGGTCCACTATAGAGGAGAGGCATTGGGTGGGTAGGACGGTCCACTATAGAGGAGAGGCGTTGGGTGGGTAGGACGGTCCACTATAGAGGAGAGGCGTTGGGTGGGTAGGACGGTCCA